CTCTTCAAATGTTTGGCTGGTGCGCCTACCGCGCAAGTTTGTCGTTTTTGCTTCTCACTTTTTGAAAACCGGTTGGAATATTTTTTTTTCTTTTGTAATGAAGGCCTGATGAAGGAACTTTAAGTTTTATGGTAGATCAAATTTGGTCTGGCGGAATTTTGCATTTTCACGCTTCCGTTTACCTTTTGGAAAATAAGTTGATTTTAAATTAAAACTTTTATTCAAAAAAATTGATTCGGTTTATGTTCGGAGAGAAATTGATTTTCATTCAGAATTTATTAATAACAATTTTTTTTGAATAACATATTTGTTGCAGATGCGGAATTGGCATCTACCGGAGATCCAAATGTTTTGGGAGCAGTTCATTCGATTCTACTCCCGACAAGCAACCTTCGGAGTCGGATGCAACTGCAACGATCCGGTTTACATGGATGTTGCCTTCGAACCACGAGTCGGCTGCCTCGTGTGCACTCGGCATCGTCGCCCTCATGCGGACCCAAGCAAAAAATGCTTGATTTGCCTCACATATGAGAAGATTTTCGAACACGAGAGGCCGGCCAAAAAAGTCATCTTTTCGGATGCCGAGAACGATTTTTTGAATAAGTGGACTGAGAAAGAAGCAAGAGACAACCGAAGTTGGACCAGAGAGGAGATGGAGCAACGGCTGATGGAAGAAGATGAAAAGCGATGGAGGGAATTGGATTTTTTTCTCGTGTTCGAAAATCTTCTCATATGTGAGGCAAATCAAGCATTTTTTGCTTGGGTCCGCATGAAGGCGACGATACCGAGTGCACACGAGGCAGCCGACTCGTGGTTCGAAGGCAACATCCATGTAAACCGGATCGTTGCAGTTGCATCCGACTCCGAAGGTTGCTTGTCGGGAGTAGAATCGAATGAACTGCTCCCAAAACATTTGGATCTCCGGTAGATGCCAATTCCGCATCTGCAACAAATATGTTATTCAAAAAAAATTGTTATTAATAAATTCTGAATGAAAATCAATTTCTCTCCGAACATAAACCGAATCAATTTTTTTGAATAAAAGTTTTAATTTAAAATCAACTTATTTTCCAAAAGGTAAACGGAAGCGTGAAAATGCAAAATTCCGCCAGACCAAATTTGATCTACCATAAAACTTAAAGTTCCTTCATCAGGCCTTCATTACAAAAGAAAAAAAAATATTCCAACCGGTTTTCAAAAAGTGAGAAGCAAAAACGACAAACTTGCGCGGTAGGCGCACCAGCCAAACATTTGAAGAGCCGGAGGCACGGGAAACAAAACTATCCGAAGTTCTTATTTTTGGACGAATTATGTAAAACTTCTTACTCTCTCCATTCATGTCATTCGTATCAAAAATCTTTTTTTCAGGCAAAAACGAAATTCGGCTTCCAAGCTAAATAATAATGCACTTAAAACACGAATCTCTCAATATATCTTTTTTTGGAATGAGAATTTTCCGAAAATTGGATGTGAACATCCATTTTAATAAATACCCCTATTTACTCAAAAAGGAGTATTTCTCAAAAAGTGATTTATTTTCTTATGATTTAATTGTTTTTTCCGTTGATTTTCCGAGAGAAAACGTTTTTCTAAGGAAAATGTTCATGAATACATTCAAAAATTTGAAAAAAACTCACCGCGCTGGCCTGCACTGCTCTCCTGGTGACTTCGGGCTTAACCATCAACGCTGCAATTGTTTTCACTCGGCCTGCTGGAATTAATCTCGTTTCTTGAGGCACATTGTGCAGCTTCTGGTCGATCGTGTCCAAGGCAATGCGGAAGTCAAAGCCGCACTGCTGCAGATGCTCGAGAGCAGCTTCGAAGGTGATCCGACCTTCAAACTGGCGGTAGATGGCACGCCAATATATGTTGCGGCTCCAATCATAATATTCGTCTTCATTTAGCTGTCGAATTTTAGGACAGACTTTATTCCACGCTTCCTCACGGTCATGGGGATTGAAAATGACCTCAGCCCGAGTGAGGTCTTCCAGGTAGTCCTCGCCAAATGTATGGGGGGGGATCTTCGTTGAGACGAGCTTGGAAGTTTGGTCCGACATTTATCCTAGCATTTACATACTTCCCATTTTTTTCTGCTTCTTCCTTCACTTGCTTCCGCCACTCATGCTCCTTGTCACTGATTGAGTGCTCCTGCTCCCATAATTTCCTCCATGCTTCGTCTTCCAATCGCACCAGATTTCCTTTCTTGAACGAAAACGGCTTTCTGGCCAGCCCTATTATTCCAGAAGTACGTTGTTCTGCAAAACGAGAAACGTGTTTGTGAATGAAAAATTATTCTACTCTAGCATTCATGAGAGAATTTCAAATTTTGATTTTTTTTTCATTATTTTTTAAATTGATGATTTTCAAAGTGAATATTTTACAAAAGTTGATTTTTCAAATGGAAGTCGTTTTTCATAACGTTTCTTTTTTTTCAAGAAACGTATTGAAAATAAGATACGGAATCCAATTACGAAGTTTTGGAAATTCTTGACGAAAATTTTGGGCCACAGTGTTTTTCGTATTTTTGGTTTTTTAAGACGTTTTTGAAGGTGAAAGTTGTTCGGATTTTTTTTCTGGATGAAAAAATTTTTGGAAGAAAAGTATTGTGGCTTTTTAAACTTAGTATATTATTCAATATTTCGATTTGTAACATTAAGAAGTTTTCTTGAAATTCCGTTTAAATACGTTCTCAAGGACTTTGAATTATGGACCCAATATTTGGAAGTGTCGCTCCTTTACCAGATAAGCTAAAATGGAGAAAGCTGAGGCAGCCGAACTATGCAACATATGAAAGAGGCACATTAGCCACACGCTATGTAATTGCTAAACACTGCATACTGTCAATATGCATACCCGAATCACGCAAAAACTCTGAAAACTCTAATTTTCCCCTTTTTTTTTTAATTATTAGGTTGGATATAAAACTATGAAAAAAATGAGAAAAAATTCAATTACCACGAAAATTGAGAAAAACTGAGGAAAATTGGGAAAAAACGAAAAATTGAGAAAAAACGAAAAATTGAGAAAAAACGAAAAATTGAGAAAAAAAAGAGCAGATTGGGAAAAACCAGGGCTGGGAAAACGCCGGCGGCCGCCGGCTTTCCACCGTCTCACAGCGCAGGCGAAAAACGGCGGCGAAACGCAGCGTTTTTAAAACCGCCGGCGGCGCTGGCGTTTATGCTGTGTGTGCGCGAATTAGTTCAACTGTGTTTTTACAAATAAGTTCGAATATATATTTTTTTCAAGAAAGTGTTTATTGTGGAAAAGCATATTTTAACGTTAGAAAACAAGATGAACAAAATATGAGAATTAAAAAAAAAGAATAAGAATCTAATATTTTTTTAATCAGAGAAAATTGGAAATGAAAGTGAAAAATGTTGAGAAATCGATTTTGGAGCACGAGTTTTTCAGAAATTAGATGGTAACTAATAAATCAATTTCAAGGCATCTCTTTGATTAACATTAGATTTTCCAAAAATTTCGATTCCAGCGACAGTCGATTCGAAGTGTATACGTTTTTCAAAGTAGTGGCTAGTGTTCCTACTGTGTTTCTGTTTCTGCATACGACAAGATTAACCTGAAAATTGTTCTTTTCAGCGAAACGTTCTATTTTACTCACTTTCTGAAATCGAACACCTTCCATCTCTCCTTTCACCACTTTCGCTACATAATCCTTTGTAAAATCTTTCTTTTTTTTAATAAAACGAGACAACTTTGGCAAAAAACGATTAAAATTCAGCCAAAAAAACAATAAAGAAATGTGCGTTAACGAAAAAATGCAGACTGCACAACTTTTCATCTACCGTAGTGCGCATAAAAACGCCGGCGGCCGCCGCCGTTCGCCGGCTGCAGCCGAGTCGTCGCAGCCGGCTAGCCGGCGAAACGCCGAAATTTTGCCGCCGTTTTCCCGCCGGCGTTTGTTTTTCCCAGCCCTGGGAAAAACCGAAGGAATATTGAGAAACAGAAGAAAATGAAATAGAATTGAGAAAAATTGGTAGAGGAAAGTATCGACTGAGTTTTAAAAAATAAATTGAGCATTAAAGTCTTGAGATTGTAAAACTTGTCAAGATTATTTTACAGTTCTCCGTTGTATGCTTTCTTGAAGTTTCGGGACTCAAAAATTCAAAAAAAAGCTAATGCCTTTCAGCATAGAACAATGTCCACAATTTTTTTCATGATGAGTGAAAAATATGACACAAAATCAAATAGAACAATGTGACAATGAGAAGTAAAAATTTTCTGTCGTAATTTTTAAAAATTCAAAAATATTGAGATTCTGAAGTTCTGCGATTTCGAAGTTCTGAAATTCTAACATTCTGAAATTCTCAGTCTCTGAAGTTCCGAAATTCTCAGATTCCGAAGTACTGAAATTTCAAAGTTCTGAAATTCTAAGAATTCTGAGATTTTCAAGCTCTGACATTCAGGAATTCAGAAACTCTTTCAAAAAAAACTGTACCCCCGAATCACAAGCGTTGTACTCCTGAATGAAATGAGTTATACCACCGAATTTTCGGCAGAAATTCTACCCAGTTGACCCTCCGAAATAACACCTTCGACAGTCTGCAATTGTGTTTGTTTTCCTCAAAAAAACTATGAAAAAGATGTAAAAACAAAAATTCATCATGTTCAGAATCATATACTCAAATTGATCTCAATGACCCTATGAGACTATCAATGCCCCTGGGAGCATTTGGTGACCCTATGAGACTATCAATGCCCCTGGGAGCATTTCGTCCGATGCCCCCTATGAGACATGGTGGGATGCCCCCTATGAGTTAGTGACCCCTATGAGTGTATGCCCCCTTTGAGCACGATGCCCCCTATTTCGATGCCCCTTGGGAGTATGGGCCGTTGGGAGAGTTTTGGTTATTTTGTGATTAAATGTGTGGGAAAAAACCATACATGTGGATGGCCGCGCCGGGCCGGGCCGGCCCGCTTGCCTCAAAACCCTCGGCCCGGCCCGGCCCGCTCGGCCCGCCTAGGACAACTTTTCGAAAATGTTACTTTTCAAATGTGTCAATATATTTTTAATAGCACAAATATTAATCCAAATGCATACAACCATCCGAAAAAGTCAATTTAATTGAATTTTTTGCAAAAAAAATCAAACTTCATTAAAGGGGGACTCCGACCAAAAATTTTTATTGCATTAAAATGTGTTAAAAGTTATCTATTTTCCGAATATTATTGCGAAAAATTTTTTAAAAAATCCGAAATTCCCAAAAAACGCCGTTGAAAAGGAAGAAAATTCAAAAAAAGGTGCCGCCGGGGGACGAGGATTTCCAGTGAGAAACCTAGACCACGGCAGCGGGCGCCTTTCCTATGTGGCAAATTTTCAGGATTTTTTTTCAATTTCATGTCCGGCAGGATCCTCTAG